TTAACCTGACAGATTCCCCAGCTGCTGATATTCAGTCAGATTTTAACATTACTATAAATGTGCAGCTTAAATGTGAAACGGTGAAGGTGAAAAGGACCTGAAACGGTGACAATAACCAGGATATCCCAATACGTCTAACCAATAACTGACTGGAATGGCAGGCCTGTTTCTCATACAAACAAAACAACAAATAATGAACCTGTCACTCAACTCAAAAACCTTAAAATATGTTTGTGAACCAAACCTTTAAAGTGAGTTTATGTGTAATGTCTTCAGTGTCACACACACCGTCCTGCTTTTTTGGCTCATGTGCAGTGTGTGTGTGTTACATTTGACTTTTATAATTCTATGCTCTTATAATTTTCTATGATCTGTTCATGTGACCAAAGTAGGCAGGTCCTAATTGGTTCATTTTGTTTTGAAAACAATGTGTTAAAAGCCCCAGTTATGTGAAGGCATACAGAACCGGATCAGAGAAGCCTGAGTTAAATAAGAACGTTCAACCCACTCTCAGACGTTCATATCCATTACGCTGTGATAGGTTGAGCCAGCCAACTTATACAAAGTCCAGCTATGTTGAACTTGATTTGTAGAGGGGTCTTTACATTTGTCAGCCTCCCTCTGATCTCATCTTTTTCTTTTTTGCAGCCCACAGTGATTCAGGGCATAACAGAGTTCAAGAGGAGTCTGCCTCTGTTCCCCGTGGTCAAACCTCACATCAACCTCAAGGCAGCCAAACTGTGAGCGAAGCCGGCAGGTCGACACAGCATGGAGGGTGGCTCCTGCCATCAGGAAGACCTGCATGAGTGTTTGTTTGCGTGGATGCATGTTGAATGCGGGGGTGTGCACGTGTAGCAGGGAGGAGCCACTCAAAGAGGAAACAAAAGAATCACAAAGTTGTTGACGTAGCTGTGATAATTAGAGGTAACGCCAGAATCACCTCATGTAACGTCTCTAATAGGAGACGTAAGCTCACGCTTCACAGCACTGTGTAGGCTGCTGTAGACGAAAAAGAAGCAAAAAACAAAGAGAGACCCATGCCTGCATGGAAACGTGTTTGCCTGAAAACGGCTCAAATTTGTGAGATGTTTTTAAATTTCTAACTACTAAACCATGCTCATACATCTTTCTTTTTTACTGCATTTTACAGTAGCGTGTCACTCAGACATCTCAGGGGTATGTCCATGCCGTTTGTTTTGGGGTTTTTTTAAATTACATTTTATTAGTAAAGAAAATAAAAATATTTAATCTGTCATCTACATTAGTACGTTATTCAAGTTTCAGTGTGAAAAGTAACCGCTGTAGAGACATTTCGTTTCTCTCTGTTAAAGCTTTGGGGAGGTCGTCAGGATCTGTTCACTCTGCATGAGAGACTTTCTGCAGCTGCTGCCTTCAGATTAGTTTGTATCCTGGTCTGATGCCTTAGTCTATTACTTACACAGCATGTAGCTCCACAGCGTCTCAGGAGAGCCGGTGATAAAGCAGTTTTCACAGAGAGGGTTAGAAAAACATATCAGGCTTGGGCGGGCCGTGCACTGTTTGACGTGAATTACCTAGTGAGTGGTTTTCATTTAGAAAATCTGATTTTTAATTTCTGGATGTATTGAATGACTGTGATTGGCTGGTGGGGATCATGGGCAGGTGAAGAGTGCTGAGTTTGGTCTTTTTATGTTGTTTTTGTGTGTTTCTAATTAATAAACAGCTGAATGGAAGCTAGTCTGTCGCACTTTTCCAGTCTCAACACATGCACGTCAACATTTGGAAAATACATTTATTCACAGAGCTCATACTGTAGAAGTCTAAAGTTAGAAGCATCGTGTGCAGTTCAGCCTCTTGGCAGAGAGGAGATCTGATGGGAAAGGTTTAGTCTGCAGATCTCAGAACACCTGTACAGAAGTTGACATGTGCAGGTTAAATATTCCAGGTGGTTGGTTATACAGTGTGTTAAACAGGCTCTCTCACTCAGATTCTCATCTCAGCAATAACTTGTTAATTCAAAGCCACGTTATTTACACATGAACAAAGGAGTTTGATACATTAGGCTTCACGTCTTATAACCCAAACTGTTTTGGTCGGTTCACTCAAATCACAGAGCTCTATATTCATCCGTCCTAATATCTCAACATTTCAATACATTTGCCAGAAATTGTGGATAAACTTGAACATCTCCCTATATTTTTTCCACCGTTTCAAACCAATAAAATCCTACTTGAAAACTAAAAATCAGAGTGTCTGTACACCACTTGGGCAGGACAATACAGCTCGGTATTTGAGTGAACTGACCCTTTAATTTCCACAAGTGTCCATTCAGAAGTGCTGGCTGCTGCAGTGAGTCATCTTTAGTTACCAGTGTCCGAGGTCATTCAGAGAGAAGTACCTGAGTCTGACCTGAGCTGGTCCAAGCTCAGGCAACTGAAGTCCCATCATGGAAAGCCGAGGGGGTGGAGGGTATGAACTGCCTCTAAAATCTAGAGGCAACGGCTTTAACTCAAGTGTCCGTCTCCTGTAAGTGCTGCACTGAATGTTGAGTCAGGCACCCCGAGGTTTTCTAATATATGTATTATCCACACATCACGGCACAGTGCTCACCTGCACTGTGATGGGTGACAAGGCTTCAAGACACATCACATGAGAGCGTTTTGAAAAGTAGAGATGAGGAATACTGGACGAAGCACGTGAACAAAGTAAACAGCAGTGTATCAGCTTCTGATCTGCGCTCGGCGTGTAAGCCGTTAGATAATCAGCTGCAGTGGCACAATGACGTGGCGAGGCTAGTTTTCTGTTCTGCGTCAGGATTCACATCACATCATTTTACTGTTTGCTCACGAGTACATTCCTTATGCTCAACATTAGTCTTCTTTGAACATAAGCCACTATCATCAGCCAATGGGGTGCTGCGAAATAAACAATATAAAACAATTTGTATTTTTATAAAACTAATTACACATGCCCCACATTTTAATTCTTTAAAACACAGTAGGTTTACAATAGTTAACGTGATTGCTGAAGCTCATCCACCCTGCAGTCGTACTCAGGAAACAGGTGTGTGTGTGTGTGTGTGTGTGTGTGTCTGTGGCTGTAACTGCACATCAACTGCTAACATGCTCCAGTCCGCACGTCTCCATCTTCACTTTAAGCCAGCGTCACAAAATGTCAGCGAAGAGTCACACCGGGGCGATGAGAGGGGCGAGGTGTGGGGAGGAGGAAGAGGTGGTAATGAGGATGACACGATCAAAAGTCTGTTTCACCAGCACTTCCTGCTCATTGAGCTTTCACCCCACCCACCCACCCCCTCAAGCGGAGGCGTGTAGTTCCTCCATCCATCTGTCCTCCCTTCTGACGGCCTCCTTTAGGCCTCTTCCTGCTCGGGGAAGTTGAGGATCTTGCGGTGAGCTTGCCTCAGGTACTGCTGCTGTTTGAAGTACACCTTAAATGCCCCCTTGATGGCCACAAAGGCGATACCTCCCTGTAGGTGAAGGAAAGCAAAATGGTGTTGAAAGTGGACTTAAAGACAGATTCAGCTCAACACATCAAAGCTCTCCCCCCACAGCGGACTCTAGGAGGATTTACTTTAATTTCACACCGACTATCACACACACGACAGCATCTCATAAACAAACATGCAGATGATTCCTGTTTCCTGCTCAGCTGTGACCAGGAATGCTAGAGCACTTACAGATATTTTGGTTAAAAAGGATCATTCAAGAGTAAAGGTGGAGGTTTCTGGAGAGGGAAGCCTTCCAACCCAAACAAGAAACTGGCTCATTTATGGCAGCCTGTCTGAACAAAGGTGTGTGGATGTCTGAACGGCCAACCTGAATGAATATTACAGCGTATCTAAATAATATTCAAGCCGGGGCTGTTCTTCCAGTATGTGCGCCTTTGAGTGCAAACAAAAAATTAATCCATTTAATTAGCAAATGTGATGACTCATTAATCGTCACAGGAAGCCTGAAAATCTTCCTTCACTTTGTTTTATATTAGTTGTGATCTTATGGCTGGACTGCTAGGGGCACTTTCACAATTTCTCGAGTACACGGTTAATAACAGAGACTAGAAAGCAATAAAAATGAATGCTTATAGTGATCGTTTACTCTAAATAAACAGTATTTACTGTTGAAAATTTAAAAGCTAAGACTGAACTTAAGCCAGCGGTCCCCAACCCCCGGGCCTTGGACCGGTACCGGTCCGTGAGTCGTTTGGTACCGGACCGTGAGAGTTGAGGCTCAGGTGTCAAATGTACAGTTTTCAGGGTTTTTATCAGTTTTCAGCGTTATTTTGTTATTATTTTTTTTATCGTTTACTCGGTTTTCCTTGGTCTTTTCACGTGTGTTATGAATAAATGAATTAAATTTTTTTCGGTACCGGTACTAGTTTTATTCTGTTGTATTTATCTGCGACACCTTAAAGGCCGGTCCATGAAAATATTGTCGGGCATAAACCGGTCCGTGGCGCAAAAAAGGTTGGGGACCGCTGACTTAAACGACAACAATCTATTTAGAAGAAGAAAAGTGGAAACAATTTTTTGAATCCTGACCTCAATACTAACCAATCAAACCCGCCGAGCTGAGGGCCTTTAAATTAGGCAGGAGTGTCCAAGCTGTCAGTGGTTGTGATTGTGTAAAACAAAACAAACATGGGCTCCGGGATAACTTACTAACTCAAGTGTGTCAGAAAAGTAAACCGAGGCGTCCACACTGGCACTAATACAGCATGTGATAAATACTGATGGGAAGTTTCAGTCGTCTCCACTCTGGCTCAACACAAAAGGAACAAAGCACCATCTTGTGGGAATATTCATTAATTGCGCTTTAAAAGTTAATTATTTACAGTGGTGTGTTTTTCTTTTTTGTCTCACAGTGATCGATCGTGCCGAGAACAAATAAAGGTTTGACTGATGATGCAGCTCATCTGTTCGCTCTCCTTCCTGCAGGTTTGCTAGGTGAGGACAGAGTGTTCAGCAGTATCAGTGCAGCCCAGATCGCATGAGCCGCTCTGGTTACCTTTCTGTCCTCCCATTTAAGGTTTCTCTTATGTCTAAATGGCTCATACGATGCACAATTAGGCCAAATTAGAGGAGGTCGTTTACTCAATAGTAGGGCTAAAACAAGGGGGTGGATATACTAGTTGTTTGTACTCTGCTCATCGAACCCCCTGCAGAACTATTGCTACTGTCAGGCGAGTCATACGGTGAGTCTGGTTGGACCCACCAGGATGGTCCTCTGCAGGTTCGAGTTGACGCTGCTGAACATGAGCTTCCCCACGATGGTGGCGATGGTGGGGAAGACCAGGGCGCCGCACAGGATCCGTGTGGCTGACACGTGGTCTGCCAGGGGGCTGGCCTCTGCGGGGATCCGAGGAACTGGACAGCCGATCCCTGCAGACACACGAGTATTAGTTTTATTCCTGCGTAAACCTGAGGGCGCAGCTGCTGACACAGTTGAGTTTCAGAGGCTGAGGAGTGATTTATTTATCCGTTTTGTGGCTGTGATGAAGTGAACACAGACCAGCTGCAGTGAGGATTTCTGTGATGGATGAGGAGACGGTGTTTGAGGTGTTAGTAACTCCATATTATTTGTTTTTGTCTGAAACTTTTCTGCTATCATCAGGTTGTGATAATCAAGTTTCTGACTCAGCTCCTTACATGGATTTATATTATTGTCCTTTGAAAAGACATCCTGTCTGTCCAGCAGTAATGGCTGTTCTTTAGCAGCAGCAGACATTAGAGCATCATCATTTCATACTGACAGGTACACCTGAGTACGGTTAGACTCACACAGTGAAGTATACACGTAACAAACACAATTTAAACACAGATACACATTCTCAGGATCAAACGTAAGGAGTGTGTCCTGACCGGGGAAGATGCTGTTGAGGATCTGCAGTTTGTTAGAGTACTTCCTCCACAGGCGCAGGACGTAGTCTTCCCAGCGGATCATCTTGCCGAGGATCAGCATGACAGGAATGGTGGGCAGCCCGATGAGAAGGAACAGAGGATCAGCCCGCTCCATAACATCCAGGCCCTCCTTATGGCCGACGACCTGGAGGAGACGGCACAGGAGATGGTCAGAGTGGCAAACAGCTGCACACAAGTATATACTAGTTTTATCTAGTATACCTTTACCTGCATGACAGTGACTGCTCCATATGTGACAGCGGTCCAGTAGATGGAGCCCACCATGATGCCAGCTGCAGCAAAGGGGCCAGCCTTGGAGATGAGGCGGTCAGCCAGGTCCAGCACATAAACCACAGGACCTGATGGAGGCATCATCAAACTTAAGTCACAACTAAGAGAAATATATTTATCTACAACACGTAAAACTGTTGGCTAACATAAATATAACTGTTATCCATAGTTTTAGAGAGCTACTTCAACCATTACTGCGTTCTTCTGACTGAGAATCTGAACTTATTATCCACTGATCTGATAATCCTCCTAATGTAACGATCATTTTGTGCATCAAAGGTCAGGAAAATGTCCCTTATTATTTTCCCTGACAGCTCAAGTTGTCAAAATATCCTAATTTCCAACCAATTAGATGCATCTCTCTCCCCTCTACAGAAACAGGGTTACTGGGTGGGCTATGCTTGGAGGCACATTACGACAGTGCAGTGACATCAAAAGCAAACTTTCTTCCTCAGACTTGTTTTGCAGGTTTATTGACACTTAAGGAGGAGCTTCAAGGGCAGGGCCCACTGAGATTAAAAAGAACTGGGATGCCTCTCGACCAGCATGTAATAAGAAAGTAATCTGAAGTTCAAACTTGCCTTTGGAGTAGTGACATCCCTGTCTGACACCAGGAGCAGGACCTTAAAAAACATCTCTGCTGCATTCCCGTCTCTTGCATTCTGGGCCCACTCGAGGGAAATCATGAAATATTTACAGGAAGGCAACCTGATTTCCTCACCCAGACAGAGCCATCCACATCCTATTAATAACTAGCCCAGGAGTCAGTGGGAGGGGAGCGGGGAGGCTGCCAGAGGGACTGAGCGCAAGACAGTGCTGGGCCTCTGTGTGCGTGCTGCTTTGGCACTTGGTAAACTGCAAAATTAGATCCACAGAGCACAGCAGTTTGGGCTTCCAGGCTCTGAAAAAACCTACACTCTCAAACACCTTACTATAATATCAGTGTTACACATGCACGGTTCTCATTTCCAGAACTAAAAACTGAAATTGACTGAAATCCTACTTCAGACAGAGATACCACTGCATCTCTTCTCTAGTTTAGAAATGAAGCAGTCAAGTTGTTTCAGAAACAGTGCTGAGTCACTGCTCATTATGAAAGCAGGACTTTGTTCAAGAACACCGTTCCTCAGGCCATGTCAGCAGCTCACTGATAAATATATTGCACAGCAAGTAAAAAGAGCCTGATTGACCTTATAGCACAGAAAGCTGCCATCACTTAGAGTTAAGGACAGCTGCGGCGGTGGGTTACAGGCCGTTACTGGGAAAGGGATTACTGCCAGGGCCCAGTCAGGCACAAGGACAGATTTCAAACAAACACCTGAGCAGATACATTTTTGAAGGAAGGGAAAGTGGTGACACATCTAACTACAACCTTAACAACATGAGTTTAGAGTAAAAGGACTCAGCTTCCTGAAATAACTCCAGGGGTGCCGTGAGGAGTTTTACAGTTTCTGGACTGGCTTCATTAAACGGTTTGTGCAGCCTGGCCACTATGAGGCTGGTGCCCATAAGTACCTGCCACACGCTGCATACAATCCATCCACTGTTAGCAGTGCACGTATTTCTACAGCTGAGTGCATTCACTGTGCTGGTCTGTGCTAAATGTCTTTACTGCAGCGCTGCAGTCCACTTGTTGAGGAAAGAGCTCAAAGTGAGCGAGGTGCATTTATCACTTCTAAAGAGTATCCGAGTCTGAGACAGTTTTTAATGCAGCAGCTGTCTCCTATCTGCCAGCAGCCATTTGATGCTTTCAGGCCTCCTGTTACTGCGCCCGTCTTTGCCTTTGGGACTGACCTCACAATGCTCGAGAGCATTAATATGCCATATTTTGATGACAGCACTGGGATCTCTTCAGCTTTCTCCCTGCCTAAGCATTACGCCATCCTGGGCAAAGGGGACTAGACTGCCCTTAATGGCTGCTGGTAGCAGATTCCATAATTAAGATTATTAAAAAAGGAGGGAGGGAGAGGAAAGTTAGGAGGGGGCTCTGTGCAACTGCAATACCTCAGTAGTGGGCACGCACATTGGCACGCTGTTCCAGCTCACTTGTTTACTCTCTGGGCTGAGTGTCAGAAAAGGAGCAGCAAGGACACGCCGTCCTCAAGAGTTATATAGCGAGCCAAATTAGCATGATGGGCTAGCTTTGGCTCTGCAGCAGCTGCTGGTGGGAGTACAGCCAGAAAAAAGAGAAAAAAATGATGTGTATCTCAGAATCCACCCACTCATTTGCTCCAACAGCAGGCAGGGGTCCCCGCGCAGAGAGCAATACTGTGACCAAACCCTATCCAGCCTCTAGAAATGAGCTGGCCTCCGTGACCGGTCAGTGCTCCCCATCTCTACCCGTCCACAGATTTAACTCCATCCGCCCAGACTGAATGCTGTTATTGCTGAGCTGTAAAACTGATAGTATTCATTAGGTTCATTAAAACCGGAGCAAACACCGCAAAAAAGGAGTGCATCTGAGCTTTAACAGGTTTTGTGCATTAGGTGACCAAAGATACTGGGTCTCTGTACTAGACATGGCGTTGTATAATAAAGAGAACGAGGCTAGAATAAAAATTATGTGAGAGGAACACTGCAGCAATGATGCAGCAAAACCAAAAGCGCTGTACTCCTCCGCCTTGCTTTGAAGTGGACTAATGCACAGCGTATCCTGCAGCCAGGGTCTCAAGTCCTCAGTCAGAACAAAGAAAAATCTCATGGAAAGTCAAACCCTGACAAAGCAGTCGTGTGAGTAAAAACCCTGCGTAACAAATCCAAATGCTTTGCAAATTCAGTCTGACCCAAGTCTGACGTCACGCGGTGCCACAGATGCAAATCAGTGAATTGCCACTTAATGTTTGCATGTGCTGCCCTGCTGGAAAGGACAACACGGAGGTACATCCTCTCCTCATCACCTAGAAACGCTGTGATTTCATGAATCCATCAGCAGCTCTGCTCATCTCCTCTGTCGCTGTGGGCCTTTGATGAGCTGCTCTGTTTGCTCTTTCCGTGACCCAATTTCACTCCCACTCCTTTCATCCAGACACATCCAACATCCCCGCACACCACCTCCGTCTGACCCTCACTAAAGGGATTTGGGGGTCGGTGGGTGGGTGGGGGTGAGGTAAACTCAACAAACACTGTGCACATAACTAACCACTGCTCTACTATTCATTTCCTATTCAAACACTTTCAGCATTTAAAAAAAAATGCAAAAGTGAAAAAACAAAACCCCTAAAAACACATTTGCCTGCTACAGTAAATTACAGGAAAAAAAGTCTTATGACACACACACACACACACACACACACACACACACACACACACACACACACACACAGGACAGTGTGCTAACTGCAGCCTATTAATTCACTTCCAACTCTCAACCAAAAATTGGAATAAGTGGCAAAACAAAGTTTAGGCTACTTCGTCTGCAGAAATCTTCCCAAAACATCCTGAGGCTAAAACTCCACCGCACATCCTCACAGTCTGTCATCTAAACTGAAGGGAAACCAAAGAAAGTTACATCAAAGGCAACACCAACCTCAGCAAATGAAGAGTGATGGTGGCACGCTGTTTCTGTGTCATTCTCCGAGGGCAACGTCACCCAGCAGATCAGAAACGAGGAAGCTCTTTCAAAATAAACCGCTGGCCTATCCATCACCATGCTCTAAACCACTTCAGTATTTGAACACATGACTAAAGAACACAAACTGTGGAGTGGGCATCAGGAGACTGAGGGTAAACATTTAGCCACAAGTCACTTCTATGACTGGCTTTTTATAAAGAGCTGTCCAAAAATAACAAGCCGCAAAGCCATCATAATAATATGGCACAGTGTGAGAAACACTGATGCAGTCAGTCTAAAGTGTAAATTCCACTGGCGCACTGTACAGAGGCTCAATTCATAAAGTGCCTCAAAGCCAGAACATGTGAGACACTAACATTAGATAACAAACATACTTATACAAACATAACATAACATATACAAAATTTCAATAAACAGCGAAATCAGATCAAACAGATCCATTAGGACAATTCTGATTTCACAAACAGAATGAGCAGGGCATGTTACAGCCAACAATCCCAAAGATTGCTTAAAGAGAACTGAAACACTATGAGAAGTTGACTTTATAACTTACTGTATGGATATTTTGTTTCACTTTTACTCAGCTGCTACATATGCTGCACATGGACAAGACGTTACCACGTCAGAGCCCCAGTGAAAGCTAAACTATGATATCCATTTCTATCTGTATTCTTTTTATGCTTTGGGGCAGGGGTCTCAAACCTGTGGCGATTTCCTCCTCTGTCTAATGCGGCTCCCCATAAATCTAGTAACAGGAAAATGAACAATTTCCAACTGAACCTCAACAGCAGTGGCCAAGAAGCCGCAAAGAAGGATTTAGAATTTCACTGGTTTAACAATGGTTTTGCAAAGATGTCATTCTTGACCATTCCTTCCCCGTTCACATATTTTACAAAAATAAATATTCCTGAGGGAAGGGGATCAAACTTGTTTGTTATCCACTGATTATTTTGTCACAATTTCTACCAATTTCACAACCAACCTTAGTAGAAATTGGCCCATATT